TCAGTAGGATGTAAATTCTCAAATATTTCCCCTCATCTGACATCTATCATGAAATCGAAAAATCGGGCTCTGTTAAGTTATAGCCCCAAGTGTTGACTACATTTTAAAACAAACCCGAACTTTCTAGCTTTCAAAATGGCGAAGAAATCTGGGACGCACGAAAACGTAAAATCAAAAAATCTCATTTCGAGAAAAACGCAAAAAAAACATTGAATTATTCGAAAGGCGTCGTTTTTTCGAATAGACGTTTTCAGAAAACATCTGTGAAACCCTTAAAATCCATCGTAAACAAAATAAACCATAGTGCATTCGATAGTGGACGTGATGCTCTATCACATGCACTATTTAAAAAAAAATCGATAAATTTGACAGAAATCAACTTTTTTGGGTGGGGGGTGGGCCTTAAATGATTTTTATTAACTTTTGTTTTGCTAAACTAGATATTCATCATCAACTATACAATCTTGAACACCATATATTTCCCAATTTTCTTTTAAATTATGACGAAATTTACGTCCATAACCTGTTGAACCATGATAATTAACATCAAGTAATGCAAAACCACGTGATGTCTAATATTGTTTACGAAAATTAAATGTACTTGTTGTTACTGATGTTAAACCACCATGACTACGAACAAGCAATGGTGGAAGTTTGCTTGTAGTTGGTGGAATTTTATAATCATCATTTTTAGATGGATAATAAAAACCCATAAGCAATATCATTAACTGTTTTTTTAAATATGATTAGTTCCGGTACAGATAAATAACGTTGATCAATAGTTAAAATTGTTGAACGACGTAACATATGTCTTGTATTTGATTTGTTTCAAAATTATATTCAACAACTTCAGTTCGTTTTATAGATGATGAACCAATATAATACACATTTTGATTATAAACACGTACATAACCCAATATCGGTAGATTATCATTGAAATATTATATTGTCTAAAATAAAACTCATCTCTTTTTGTTAAAATTATTTCACACTGAATATATAGTGTCATTATCTACAAAATTTCTTTAGGACTGATATTGAAGATTTCAATAGGATGAAACAGTAACTGTTATTCTATATCTAACAAACAATACAAAGAAATAACAGATGAATAGCTTTTATATGATTATGTATACTAATGTCGGATTTTTTTAAAAGTACTAACAACCATTTTTTGAATAACTTTTTAATGACTTAAGCTATAGAAGTCGGACTTTCACTATTAGAAAGAGCGATGTGGGGAACATTGATCTGTATAAAATTCATTAGGTTCAGAGATCTTTTCTATAGTTGTTTTTAGACAAATATCTTTTTTTTTTTCGTCTATTTTCATGAGTTTTCGTGACGAGTTAGCATCAAATTAGACCAAAATATAGCTTAAATCTTCTGGTATTTGTGCTAAAATTTTCAAATCTTTGCGTTTTCTTCTTGGGATTTTTTTCTTACGTTTTGGGATTGAAATATGAAAATATTCCACCAACCATTTTGATCACTAAGAAAATAAATAAATTTTCCATCTGGAGACTATTGTGCTTGTAAAATAGATTCATAAATTTTTCCAAATAATTTCTTTTTATTAATTAATAACAAATTTTCTTTATTATTAAATTCACCAATCCATAATTCAGTTTGATCCCATGGCATATTTAGATGATTCCAACAAATCCATATTAAATATTTTCATATCTGAACTTATTTTTGGTGATGAATAAAAATTATAACCAGACACAAGTGTATTCATTGATGATGAATCATTTAATGAAATTCTAATAATTGTATTTTGAACATTATTCTCATTTTGATGATTCTCATGTACACAAATTAATTTTTCTCGAAATGAATCAATTGTAAAATCTGCATAACATAGTGAAGAATTTTCTGATTCAGTTTGTAAATGGTATTGGTAAATCATTTTGCTTAAGATCTAATCGACGATAAATACGTTGATCAAGAAAATTACTAAAATAAATCATAGCATTTTTAACATAATATGATCCGCCACCATATTCATGAACACGTGTACGATAATTAAATAGTTTTAATATTAAATCATCTTGTTGTCTATTTCAACGGAGAACATATCAACTACTTTCAAATGGATGTAGTTCAATCAATAAATATTTCCCTTTTCATCAGTATGAATTTCTTGAGGGTCAGTGTTTCTAACAGCAAGGGTCAGCCTTTGTTACAAAGTGTCCAAGACCCTTGCGATATTCGATTCACACTCTGTTTGACACTTTGCTGATGAAAAC